AGCAGGAAAGGAAGTGCTGGGAGATGGCCACAGCATTACCACGCTGAGCCCAGCCTGTGTAAGCTTTTGCAAAGTTGGGTAACTACTTCTTCCATAAAAGGGCAACAAAATTACAACCTCCCTTTGGGTGCAGATGCGAAGAAATCATGGTCCTGTAGATGTGGACAGTGGAAGAAGTCTGTTAGATGACTTACTCCATTCCTGAGCCACACAGATTTACCTGCTCTAACACTCTTAAACTGAGGAAGCTATGTTTTAAAGAAGCAGTTTTTCTTTCATCTAACAAATCGAGATCACGTGTGAAGTTATTTACTCCATACAGGACGTACTAATGGGAACTGAGGGAAACAGCTGGATATATGCTTCCACAGCTTCTCCAACACTGCAGCACAAGAAAGGCACTGGAAGAAAAGCAGCGATAAACCAGGCAAGAACTATGGCCTCACTGTATGAATAAGCTGCCAAAATAAAGCACTCAACACCCCTCAGAAGGCAAAGATAGTCCAAGATTAAGGCAGAAGACACTGCATGGCCAAAAGTTCCCCAAAACAAAAAAGCAATCCCTTGACCACATGACTCTGAGCACATGAAGAAGCGCAACCACGGCTGACTGAGCCGTGGTTGGGCAGAGGATGTGGAGTGTGCGCCAGCACCTGCCAGCTCACAACACTTGCATCTCAGACCTGGCTCAAACAATGTGAAAGTTTTTACAGCTGCAAACATAGAGACCAACCAGGAAGTCCCCAAATGAGAGTCCTCTCTGCTCCTGCAATGGGAAGCCTTGGGCAGCCAAGAGCCGATGGAAAATGGAAACCTCTTCATTACTGGAGAGGTTCCCATTCTCTGTGAAGGATAAGACCTCAGCTCTGTATTGGGGCAGCAGCTTGCACAGAGCTCCTGCAGGAACTCAGGGCACAGGTGCTTGACTTAAAAGAAGTCTCCTTAGTAAATTACTACCTACCTTCAGCTTTGAGCACTAACAAGAGCTGTAGAGCAGTGAGGTGGTACTGTAGGTTCTGGGGAACCACAAGGTCAGACCAAGCCACCCCTTTCACACATGCATGTAACTCTTTACACCTCTGTGTAACAGTCAAGTACGACTTGAGTCTCTGCCCTGGAGGCATCCATAGACTGCACACACTTGTCACTGCTGGCCTTTCCAAAAAGGATTCAATGCTGGCACTATGCTGCACATGCCAGGAGGGGCAAATGGTAGCAGAGAAGAGTCTGTACTGCTCTTCTCTTTCTAGGGTTGTTTCATGGAGGTTGCAAAGACACAGCACTACTTTGACATTTTGCTT